GCAATTTCGTTATTGTTGTCTACCGAAATGTCAAATTATTAGACTTTAGAAAAACAAATCTAAAGAACGCGATTGAACGTAACGAAATCAACAATAAATACCCTCTCCCAGAACCAACAGACTTCCGAAAGCATATTTACGAGCTCGCTCTAATCTGTTGAAAAATCCTCCAATAAGATTGCTACTCATAAAAATTTGTTTCAACTCGCTATTGTATTTATAATCCACACGCCAGATTGAATATCCTTCGGGATCGAAATGTTCCCAAAACCAATTGATGGCATTTGGACGGGTATCATTGTTAGAATAGAAGCGCTTCCATTCTTCTAGATTCAAACTACTTGGAGGCAATAGATCTAATTTGCTTTTAGGCTTAGGAGCTGGAGGCTTATCATCATCCTCAAGTTCCTCGGCAGGTTCTTGAACTTTTTCTTTGGGCTGTTCTTTTTTGGGCTGTTCCTTTTTCTTTGGTGCTATTTCATTTATCTGATATTAGAGTCATTCCAATCACATTATTGTTGGTCGTAAAAAGGACAATATCACATACGAGTGAATACAACGGCAACGTCTGCAAGAGTGACATCTCCCAAGATCTTCTTGAAGGCAGGTTGATTGATAAGTGTGACATACCACCGAGTGAGATTTTTATGACCTTTTCGAAATTCCGCGTCCAGCACCAACTTGAAAGGCAAGTAAAGTGATGTGGCAACGGAAATATCGGCCAGCGTGACACGTTCACCAACTAAGTAGGTCTTTTTCAGCAAAACCTTTTCCAATATCCTCAAAGCTTTCTTAAGACCTTCGACTGATTGATTGTGCGTCTTGTCAAGGAAAATATGTCAGTAAACCAATTTATGTGTTGAGAAACATATAACAAACCACCCAAATCATGGTACCGCTTTGTTGTATGATGTTATTCCTAAAATCGGGTTGATCCAAGTATTTGCATGGGGAGTAATTTCGTTTTCGGCGAAAAGGATGTAGTTAAGCACTTGTGCCGTTTCCTTCTTATCTTTGCCTAAAAGTTGGGTGTCTTCCTTGTGACTTGCCACTATATATATTTTCAGAAGATATAAAAATTAGTCTGACAAATCCACGCGTCATGATGGATATTGAACGTTCGCTAATTACAATCGGGCTTGCTTTTCAGAAAACTAGTATCAATCACATAATGATTTCAGTCAGGGATAACTGTTTTTAAATTCTTCTCATCATAAATGGCAAATGGAACATAAGCAGACGCCAAAAATGAAATTTAAGGAACATCAAGGATGCCTCACCGTAGTAAGCAATCGCTCCAGACTCATTAAGGTAGACAACAATAACGAAATTGCTGGGTATTTTGTAATTCGTGGGCAAGAGATACCAGAAGAAGGTAACTTCAATT